GTAGTGATCATCTGTCCGACCGGTCAGTTCATGATAAAGTCTACTATAAATACCTGCACTATATAGTGATTGAGGGATTTAGGGGTTATGGCAGACGTTCGGAGACAGCTCACTCCTTAAACAAATGCATCAACTACTTTAGGTATGGCTTTTAGTTCTGATTCCCCAATAGCACAGCTGCCTAAAATATAAGTGACTATAACCCCTTATCATACCAAAACAATATGGAATGTCCTGTAGCATATGGGGCAATAGGGCACCAACTTGTGACTGTCTACAAAGGTATGTTTCCTGGCACTGAAATAATGTGGAATATATCTTCTTACGTTGACTGCTTTAGAGATGCGAGGATGTATTAATTTTAAAAGACTTCTAAGTTTTTAAAAGCCAAAAAAAAACTGAATCAAAGCCATTTCTGACTTAAACCAATGTTACCTTCTGCTCTCAGTTGTCATCATTTTGATAAGTGATCTAAAAAACCCTCAACATATCACAGCACATAATAGCACATAATAGAAATTAATAGAGAGCAGTTTTTTAAAGCAATTCAGACATGAACCTCAAATGCATTTCTGTACATCTGTGGGGTTTCTACGAGCAATTCGTGCACAGAAAACCAGCACGAACAGCACAGATCAATAGTTAAAGCCAGGAGTCACCAGGTAGACTAATCATTGAGTCATTAGTATTGATCAGCACCCGCCCACACACAGAAACACATTTCCTCACTCCAAAAAGATTGCTATCTAGCGCTTTACATAGAAGGGGAAAAATCAGTAGCCCGGCGCAGGACTGTCATCGTGTTATGATGTAACCTGTTGGAAGTTTGAGTTGATGTGTGTTTGAAGAGAGGACAAAACAGACTAACTAGGCTTAGGCCTGGATCAGCTTATCCTGGTATGATAATCTTCAGTAAAAACATCTTCAACGGTGTCACAGTACCTCCGCAAAGACTGAAAACCTATGATATGATGTAGTTACTTTATAGAGTATTGATCGTGGACTGTATGAGCTTTATTCCTGTTAATAAAAGCATGTCTCCCAAAAAAAAGGTGATATATTAGATTAACTGTTTTATGAACAGGAGATAAAATGTTAACCCCAGGCTCACACCGACTCCGGTCTTACCGTTGCGGTGCGGTGGGTGCGGCGCCGCAGTGATTCCAAGTCATTAAAAAGACGTAAACCTCTCTCACCGGCTGCTGAGCTGTCCGGCTGCGGTTATCGAGACACTCCGGCGCTGCAGAAAATTCCGCAAGAAAGCTATCCTTGCGGCGTGCCGGAGCCCTCCGCAACAAGCTCTCGCAAATATCCTTATTTGAACAGTGAACTTCTGTTCTCGCGAGTTAAATCTCCGGACCTGTTGCCGGAGCCGCAGAGCCGCACCGCACCGTAGTCAAAAGGGCGGTGTGAGAGGGGGTGTGCGGGAGTTGCGGTCTCCGTCGGCTCGGTAACCGTACCGGAGCCTGTGTGAGCAAGGCGTAAATATTGGCAACTAGAGAATATATTTGGGCAAAAATACTAACATCAAAAAATGTTTCATAGCTTTCATGACCTTGATCCAACCTATGTTTATATTTAGTTTCTACAAATTTTCCTTGGTACTAACCTTATTGTGCAGAATAATACTTTGCTATTTCACTCTGTATAGGTTCTTACTAATGTAGAAATAACTTTGTAATTTGGCTGGTTAGTAAATCAGGCTATATATAAATAGTGGCTGATGGGAGGCACTCCTTAGATTTCCAAATCACAGTTTCTACAATTTTGTCCTGTACGTAGGTGAAAAGTGTGTTGATGTTCTTTAAGCCAGCTGACTAGCAGTGTGCAGCAAAGGATGTTAGCGAGGTCGTGCTGCGTTTAACTCCCTGTTGTTCAGGCTCTATAGCAGCTCATCTACTCACTTTAAACTGTACGCAAGCCGAGACAGAAAGTTTTAGCAACTTTGAAACTGTGATTATTTACAAGCTCAGCATGCCTGGATACCAACAACCAATCGTTGCCTTGACACCGACTGTCTTTCACTGCAGCGTTTTTGTCTGTGTTTTGGGAAAAGCTCACCGGCTCGGCAGCCATCAGCTCTAATGAAAGTCATGATGGCAGCACCTGTGCAGGCAACAGCCCGTGAAAGCTGTCAGAGCAGAGGTGTTGATGTGGAACCAGAGACTTGTAGTTAAAAAAGGCAACATTTATAATACAGCTCAGCACTGGAGTCCTAAAATCTCTCCTTTTTTTTATTTTTGCTCCTGCAAAGACCAGGAAAACATAGCCACTGGCAGATCATTTCCAACTGCGATTTGGGTCATCATCAGCTGATATTTTAAGATACAATAGCCTGAAGTTACTTTTTCTTGCATGCGAGTGTACATTTCGATGTGGAAAGATGAGGAAGAAGGGGGGGGGGCAGGGTAAAGAGGGGAGCATTTAGCTCATGAATTAACAAATCTAATCCCAAGCTTTATGATAGCCGTCTGCTCAGAGGGGGCCCTCCGGGGAGGACAGCGTTACGGTAACAGCAGAGGTTAACAAGCAGAGCTGTGAATTCTTCTGCATTAAAAAGATCTGAATGGAGAGCTCTTGGTGTGTATCGATTGTGAGAGCATGGCTGCAGCTTTAATCTCGTCTCCAAAGTGAGCCTTCTGTCTGAGGATTGTTGGAAGCGCTGCTGCTGCTGCCTCTCTCTCGCCTGCCAACGTTCAAGATAAAGACACCAAGAACCCACATGACCGTATTATGAGATGGTGGGGGGGGGGGAACAAGTCTGAATGCACAGCATAGAGTGACAAAAATGCCACAATAAGTATGTAAAAAGAAATATACATGTTATAATGAATATATCTTAAAGTATATTAATAAAGAAATACCAAGTCTGAGAAATCTGCCATGACACTGTAAGGTGGGGCTGCAGCTAACGATTATTTTGCTGCTTGATTAATCTGTTGATTATTTTTTGATTAATCGATTACTTATCAAATCAAAAGGTTCCTTAAAGAAGATTTTTTTTTTTTTTTTTACAGAATTAAACCAGCTCAAACCAAAAACTTTTCCACTCTGGGAGTTCTGGATAGAGCATTTTGACAGAACAAAAAGTGTTTTTATCTTAAATGCAAAATATTCAAATATATTTTTTCAATTTTGGTATAATTACTGCTCTAAATGAGTCGCTCTGTCAGTTAAAGGCATGTTTTAGAGTTTCTATACTCCTGTTAACAGCTAATCAGTTACTAAACTAGTTGATGATTAATTCAAAAATCGATTAATTACGATTAATACGATTGTTTCAGCCGTGCTATAAGGCAACCAGACCCCCCGTGGAGTTCGCCTAAGCTGTTTAAGATCCTAAATAGCACAGTATTTCCCAATTAAATTGTCTGAATTTAAAACCACCTGATGGACAGCCGACAATCTAAAGGTTAGTTAGGTTACCCATATTATGTTGTAATAAACTCTAAAAACAAACATTGACCTTAGGGGGGACACTTAGGCTAATTTGATCAGTTGTCAAAAGTAAATCTACCAAAAACCAGACCAAATAAATGGAAACGGTGTCATTAGAATAAAAAAAAAATGATAAAAATAAATAAATAAAAATATAAAACTGACTATAAACAACATTTGGTAAAATTTCAAACAATATTGTAGGTCCATTTTCAATGTATTTCTTGTAAAAATGCATTTTTAAACGTATGGAAAACACCATTTAAAGACATGTTAATGGACCCATCGTTTTGTTAAGCTTTCATACTGCAGTAACAACACATGGTGTTGTACTGTGCTGTTCTCATCGCTCATACAAGCTTACTGAGTCCACATACAGCAGGGACTATATAGTGGACTTTATAGTGAACTCGGTTAACTGGCCGCTTGGACAGATGATCACTGGTTTTTGCCTTGTTGGTCACGTAACTTCTCCTTCACTGCACGGTGCCTGTGCCATCTTTGTTGTTAGTCACATCTGTCCGGGAGTGACAGACTTTGGCGACAGTGGGCCACTGTGTTAACAAACCCCATAGGGCTTTGCGGGTAGAACCTTCCGCGCAAGTCATTCTATATCTGGATATTTATATATCCAGATATATTTCTTCTCTAGCTATGATAGCTATGTAGACAGTGACAAGCACATAGGAGGGCCGCATGTAAACATATCATCAGAATGATTGACAATCAGGGGGACCACGTGTTTAGATGATCCACAAATAAAAGATCGTCCTCTATACCTTTAATTGCTGTTAAAACACGCGATCCATGATGGCTGTGCGCAAAAAAATAAGAGGCTTTCTCAGTATCACAACAGACAAAGTTTGGCTAATTTCTATAAAAGAAAAGTTCTCTAACAAAAATCTGAATTTCCAAGCAGACCTGCTAATTACATCCAGCACAGCAGCACCTCTATGACCTATTTTCTGGTGACAGAGAGATGACAGGGCGCTGGCAGAACGTCTCTAAGCATAATGGAGTCAAAACAAAAAAAGTAATTAAATTTCTAAAAACACGACCAAAAAAATCATATGGTAAATTGGCAGTGATGCTAAATCACTTAAGTGATACTTTTCTGCCAAAACCTTTTTACATGTTTGAACCAGATAATAACTTCTCTAATACAGACACTCCCACACGACTTAAACATTGCTCAGATGTATATTCAAAGTCAAAACAAAAATATCAGGATACTAAGCAAGTGTACTTCTGACTCAACCTGTCCTCAGAAGTTGCTTCAATATATTTCTAACAGAGAATTTTGGCTTAAAAATCATTTTGCCAGTGTTGGACCCCATAGATTACTTGCACACATTGAAATCTTGTGAAAAAATGTAAATACTTGTGATTTTTAGACTCTTGAGATTGATTTAAACATATTAGTTTAATTTAATCACCCTTTTTAAGTTTGTACGACTGTAATTAATTAGTAACACATTTGTAACCTTTGAAGAGTTTTATTGAATTTTGGCAGTATTGAACCCCCATAGCAACAGCTAAAAACTACAAGGAAATCTGCTTACCATGTTGACTTCTGACACCATGTCTATGCTGGCCACGTCTATGCTCATGCCGACTGCTACTGGGGGCCCTGGAAGAGGTTACATGGTGTTATGTACCTGACCATCACATTGGGAATGGCGCCAAAGAAGAGCGACAGTGATTGATGATGAGGGGGGGGCGTTTACCTCCAAAGTCCGGTCTCAGTCGGATGTCGTACCCTTTTAGTAGTTTATCCACCGTCTCCTTCACGATGGACATGTTGCCAGGTTCGTTGACGCTGAAACGACAGCGGCGGAATGAGAGGAAGCAGCAGCCAATTAACCTGAGCTGTAACCTTGACTTGTTGGGTGCAAAAACAGAAACACCAGAAAAGGAAAAAAAACGAAAAAGAAAAAAAAAAAAAAACGGCACTTACCTTTTTGCGCAACACACAATCGCCCCAACCAGCAGCGCGGATAAGACGCGGAATTGACGGACCCTCTGCAGCGCAAACATCTTCCTCTTCCCCTCTAATTTGATTTGATTGTTACCTGCTATAATTAGTAAGGTTCTTTATCCCCTGTTGTTTACAGACACACCTCCCACGCCGCAATCAACAGTCTTTTCGTGCGCAAATCCATGGATTGCTCGCCCCTCGCCAATAAAAATAAAATAAATAACATAAAATACACCAGGAGAAAGTCGACTGAGGCGCAGAAAAAGTCTGCTGCGGACGGAGTCAGATGTGGAATGGACCTGACATCGCCTCCCCCTGCGGAAATGTTGGTTTATATCTATATTCTTTATTTGCCCTTGTCTAAATGTGCAAGAGGCTCTTAAATTGAGGAGCTGACGCGCATATTGATGAGGGAAGCTGCTGCTGCTGCTGCTGGTGGTAGTGGTGGCACTAGACTCGTTCAAATGGGAGACGAAGCCCAGCACTTAACACGCTGTAAAAAGATGTCTGCTGTTTGTGCAAACTGAGATCAACTCTAAGCATGAAAATGTTGAAGATTTGCTGTAATTAAGACCTTTAAAATCAATTATACATTTAAATTCTGGAGCTTTTTATAGATATATGATGTGACAGCTTATTAAGCACTACAGAGATTTACTTTTAAGCGGAAGATATTTTAGTTGATCTATTAAAGAATAATTCTTTATGTATAATCAGTCTAATCCAGGTTTCAAAAATACCTTATAATCCTTCAAAAAAATGTATTTTGTTAGATTTCACTGTTAACAATTTCAAATGTTTTAAATAGAAATATGTGTTATATATCTTTTTTTTTTTCCTAAATTGATATTTTTTACAGTGTGCCCCACACCAGCGCCAAATCCATTGCTCTCGTGGTTCTATTAAAAATGGCGCGAGCGGAGCATTATCCAATAAATACAGGATGTTTTTAATCAATATTTTATTCATTGTCCGGTTACTCAGCCCTTTAACAGCCTTTTGGTGCAGGTGACCTTAAATATCCGTGAGTCATTTTGTTTGGTAGGAGAGGAAGAAGGGAATCTTGATTGGTATGAATGGTGCGCGTCCCTCTGAGTCCAAAAAACAGGGATGGGGAAATGGGGCAGGGGTTTTCCTCACCTGGTGTCATAGATGGCGAACAACTTCTTGTTTCCGTCAACAGCGTTCCTGAAAGAAGAGACGGGATGACATCACTCATTTATGAAGAGAATTTGGCCAATTAAAACTGGCAATTCTATGCTTTCTGGTTTTGTACATTTGAGTCAATTTCCTTCAATGAGTAGTGATTCAAACGTTTAATATTTTTTGTATGAGGTCAACAGTGCAGTGAGTACAGGACAAATGATGAAGGACATTGGAAATCCTCTGGGAGACGCCCCCTCACTGTGTAGGAGCTGTCCGCACCAGCCGTGGTGCTGAAATCAGTCTCCTATGAGGGTACACTTGTTTTCCACTTTTCTAGCTTTACTGTACGGGACGGATCAAAGGAAAGCGGGCGGAGGTTAAATGTTATCCACTAATTACTAAACGTGGAACTCGGCTACCCTCTTATGGCAGACGTCAGCATGATAAGTGGGTCCCGAGATACTGAAGTTAGTGCATTAAAGCTGTGGGGGCAAACGATGAACAATTTGTCTTTATTGCATTTTCCTCTATTTGGTCTCCTTTTTATTACAGTTAAGTGTTTAATTTGATGAAATGTTTTTAAGATAAGACAAAGATAACATGAGTGAATATAAAAAAAGGTGTTTAAATGTTGACCTCCTTTTTTTTTTAAGGGAAATTAAGTATTCAAAGCAACATGGCGGTGATGGGACATTAATTTTGCCCCAACCCTTTGGGTCACCTTTCACGGCAACCAGTCCAACTGTCAACCAGTCGTTCAAATGCCTATAGGAAGACATATTGAAATTTAATTAGTTTCTGTGCAAACTTTAGCTGGCCACTTAAATGCATTTTTTCTTTACTTTTATTTGCTCTATTATGCAAATAAGCAGGCTGCTCAGTGTCGCAGTGGCTAGCACTGCTGCTTGCAGCAAGAAGGTTGCGGATTCGATCCCCGGCCTGGGGGTCTATCTGCATGGAGTTTTCATTTTCTCCCTGAGCATGCGTGGGTTCTCTCCGGGTACTCCGGCTTCCTCCCACAGACCAAAAACATGACTGTTAGGTTAATTGGCCTCTCTAAATTCTCCTTAGGGGTGTGTGTGAATGGTTGTTTGTCCTGTTTGTCTCTATGTTTCCCTGCGATGGACTGGCGATCTGTCCAGTGTCCTGTCTGCCTCTTGCCCATAGACAGCTGGAGATAGGCACCAGCATCCTCCGCGACCCCACTTGGAATAAAATGTGTCGGAAAATGGATGGATGGATAAGCCAAGTGCTTCGAGTTTATGTTCAAGTGCTGCAGCACTTGAACATAAACTCCCTGCGCTAAATTTTCTTTTGAATTTAGCACAGGGATGGCAGCATCATGCTGTGGGGAAACAACTGTTTAAAGTGGATGGGAAGAGAAACAAAGCTAATTAGATGGAAATTTTAAAAAGAAACGTGTTAGAGGCTCCAAAAGACTTGAAACTGGGTCAATGAGCTGCCAACTAGAGACACAACCCGAAATATGCAGCCTGAGCTTATCAAGTGGTTTAGATTAAAGCATATGCTTGTGTTGAAATGACACAGTCAAAGCCCAGGGTCAACTAGAAGTAAATATTTGGGTCAGTATCCAAATAATTAATACACTCATACCCTTTTATTTTAACTTGATTGCCCTTAAGCCTTCATTACAAATAAAAAAGGTGGAGAGCATTTAGCCTTTAGATGTGTAACAATTGCATAAGTAAATTATGAATAGCTTCAGTAGTTTACTGTAATTCTGTAATTAGCACCATGATTTGGTTGTTGAAAAAGAAATAATTAGTTAAGCTAATGTAATTTCTGCAACATTACAGTCTAATTACACAGCTAGGTTTCTGTGTAATTAGGCCGATCAATATGCTGAAGTAACAAAAGCAGCTTAATTGCTGTATTTTTGAATCAGTAAACTACTAGTTGAAGCAAAAGAGGTACACCTTTAATGTAAACTAACTCTATAAAAAAATTTGCTTCCTTTATAAAGGTATTAAAGTTGTTTAGTCAAACTTAGAAAATTAGCCATTTCAATCCAAATTTTGCTAGTGCTTTCTAAGTTAGTATTAGGTAGCAGATTGGATAAGCTTCACCACAATTAACTGTTAATTACATTTTAAGACCAACAGACATCACATATTTTCACCTCTCAACCACATTAAGACAGGAGATGATAGGAGAGGACGATCGGAGTCTTTATGTGGACGTCATTTCACCTTTCAATGGATGTTTTATGCTTTTGAATCCATTAAGACATCAATCAATGTCTCAATCTAAACGTGCTTTCACTTATCCCTCTATAATCACATTAAGGCACTAACAGATGTCTTTATGTGTTGATCTTTTAACCTTGCACTTTTTAACCACATTTGTTTGTATGCATACAACCTTTTATTTTTAACAGATTGATTTCTTTTTTTGACTACGTGATGTGGAAAACTTGTAACTTTTCAATCATCAACCCTATTAGGATGATAATACATCTCTTTATGTGAAAGTTTTTCTATTTTAAACAAGACATATACACCATAAGAGACCTTTATGTTTGTGTTCCCTCATATTTTGCTTATTAATCTTATTTAACCTTTAATATACCTCTCCAAAATTCCAAATCCTCTGTCAATAGACAACGCCTTCTGGACAGGACTTCTGGGCTGTTTGCATTTTTCAACATGGACATCTTTTGTCCTTAAACACATCATCCATAGTTTTATGGTTATACAGAAAGAAAACTAATCATTTTTTATGTCTGTTCAATGAGATGTTTCTCTGGTATAATTTAAGATCATCATTGCTTTCCTTTATCAAGATAAATAAAAATCTGCACTGCTGCTTATAATGCCTGTTCCTCCCAATCCATCGATGTACAGCTTCCAATTTAAAAACATTATCAGCGGCTCCCGCAGCACTGTATTTTCCCGCACTGGCAGTAGGCGGTGCAGAAAAAAAAAAGAGAGAATAAAAGAGGGGAAAAAAATGTGGAGTGAATCCAGTCTCCTCAGAGGCTGGCCAACGAGGCAGAAGAGGCAGCCCCTTCTTTTCTGTTGCAGCTCCTGCCGCCGCTGCTGGTGTTACACTTCTGGAGGCGATGCAGGAGACGCGGTGAAGAATAAAAAGAAGGAGAGGAGCAGAAAGACACCTCCTGATGGGGAGCTGCTGATTGACAGAGAGAAATGAGAAAGGGAGAGCGCAGAAACAGCCCATGGTGAAGGAGCCAAAGAGGAGGAGGAGGTGGTGAGACAAGCGATTAGCGGCAGAGAAGAATAGGTGGTGGTAAAGTCTGGCTGGAGACCCTCTGTCTACAGGCGCCTATAGAGATCAATCTGCATTCAGGTATTTCCTTTTAACATTATTCTCAGAAAGAAATACAATTTCTTTGATTTGTTTAGATAGGGAAACGTGAAAAGGAGGCAGCAGAAGAAAATGGAATAAACCGTACAGAGTCTGGGGGAAGGCGGGGAATGCAATGCTCTGGATTCAGGGGGATAGAAATTACCCTCAGAAAACGATGTCTCTCTTTCCTCTCTTAGATGGATTTTACTGTTGTTATGGTTGTTGCAGGAGTTGCAGACTGAAGCTTCAGCAAACACACATAGTCCTACTGCCTAATGTAGTGCTTTTCTGGCTCAGCATGTAGACCGACAACTAGTTTTGCCTCCTAAATGGGATTCTTGTTTAAATTACTTTCTACTTTTTCATTAATCAGAATCACAATTACTTTAGAGTAAAAGACATTTAAACGCTCCAGTTTGGCTCTTTCTGTTTTTGTGTTGCAGCTCTTAAACAACATGACTTGGCCGGTACTTTCCCTCCTGCTCCTGCTCGGATGCCAAAACAGGTAAATTGAAGCCACTAAATAGAAACACCTAAAAGCTCTCATGATACTTTTAAAGGAGTTTATGTTTTTACATGCATTTACAGCTCTAGGCTGCATTTGTTTGACATTTTTTTTCTGTTGCACATATCTGTTGTCCATATATCCAAGTTGCTACAAATGCTGCTTAAATGTAGCAGTTTTTTTTTACTTTGTGAAAGCAAAAACATGAGACATTAAAATATCTCACAAAGAAGGCTGTCAATCACATAATGACAGTAAATTCTGAATTTTTATTGTTTGTTTTTTGCTTCTCATCCCCTAGAAAATGTGGAAATGTTGGTTGATAAAGAAAAATAGGCTTCTTTAAGAATAGAAAATGCCCCTTTTTCGCATTTGGATCAGTTACCAGAGCCCTAATTATCTCTACTGGTAGTTATAAGCAGCACTTATGTTCAATAATTAATCACAACAAGTCTGGCCTT